GCTCCTTGCCTGAAACCCTGGAGAGCTGCTGCCAGTCAGTGCAGACAATACTGACCTAGACGGGCCAAGGGTCTGACTTGGTATAAGGCAGCTTCCAGGTTCCTGCATCTTACAAGAAGGGTTCAGCTCCATGGTAAAGCACCTGCTTTCCATGCAGAAGTCCTCAGTACAGAATTATCCTCATCCTACAAGTCCTACGATTCCAGAGCTACAATTCTCAGAGTGGACTAACACCCCCCCTTCCCAGGGAACTCTGGGAAGGGAATAGGGGGGCTCCTAATAACTTTTAGCACCCCAAACAAACTACAGCCCCCAGGATTCATTGGGGTAAGCCATGAAAGTTTAAAGGGATACAACCCTGCTTTAAATGTACAGTCATACCTTGGTTTTCAAACACCTTAGTTCTCAAACGTTTTGGCTGCCGAATGCCACAAACCCGGATTTGAGTGTTCTGGTTTGTGAATGTTCTTTGGAACCCGAATGTTCAATGTGGCTTCCACAACTTCTGGCTGAGTGCAGAAAGCTCCTGCAGCCAATCGGAAGCCATGCCTTGGTTTTTGAACCTTTTCGGAAATCAAACAGACATCTGGAACGGATTCCATTTGAGAGCCAAGGTATGACTGTATAGTGTGAATGTGTCCTTAGCCCTACTCAGAGCAGCACCTATTTAAATTAATGGACTTAAATTTGTTGTTGTTGTTGTTTAGTCGTTTAGTCGTGCCCGACTCTTCATGACCCCATAGACCAGAGCACACCAGGCACTCCTGTCTTCCACTGCCTCCCGCAGTTTGGTCAAACTCATGCTGGCAGCTTCAAGAACACTGTCCAACCATCTCGTCCTCTGTCGTCCCCTTCTCCTTGTGCCCTCCATCTTTCCCAACATCAGGGTCTTTTCCAGGGAGTCTTCTCTTCTCATGAGGTGGCCAAAGTATTGGAGCCTCAGCTTCAGGATCTGTCCTTCCAGTGAGCACTCAGGGCTGATTTCCTTCAGAATGGACTTATATTAGTTATGGCTATTCATTTCAATGATTCTCCTCTGGGTAGGGCAAACATTGGCTATGATTCTGAACCCGGGTTCATTCTACATGCATCAGAGAACTGGAGGTGAAGTTATTATCAATGGTGGGTTGTTCCCCCAAAGTCCCATTTTCACCAGGATCCATTGCAAGCCATGAAAAGGGATTGGGAGGTGGGATTCTAAGAGGGGGTGGTGAAACATTGGGCAAAAGGTTCCTGTTCTGCTTCTTAATTAGCCCTTTAAAAAACCCAAAATCCTGGCCAAGTCATAGCAAAGCAGACCAGAACACGGTGCCTGATGAGGGGGCGCTGCTTCCCGGCTGGAGTTGCCAAACAGTGGTGGTGCTATGGCTCTCAGCAGCTCTTATTTATGAGGACTTGGATTCCACAGAAGGGACCAGTTTATACAACCTCAAAGCAGCCTGGGCTGTGCTGGCAGCTTTTGCACAGTTTACATCAAGTTGACTCCACAGTATATATAAGATAATGCTGCGAGTTTATGTAGCTTTTTAAAGATTGCATGGAGAGAGAGAGACCTTGAGGGGTCATTGTGCTCTTTGCAGAGGAGTAAGGAACATTTTTCAGCCCAGGGGCTGCATTCCCTTCTGAGCAATGTTTAGGTGTTCATAGAATCACAGAATTGTAGAGATGGAAAGGACACCAAGGGTCATCTAGTCCAACCCCCTTGGAATGCAGGAATCTCAACTAAAGCTCCACAGAATTATAGAATTGCAGAGTTGGGAAAGAACCTTGATGATGATCTGGTCCAACTCTCTGCAATGCAGGAATTTGCAGCTGGCGTATATGGGGATTGAACCTGCAACCTTGGCATTCTCAGCACCATGCTCTAACCAACTGAGCTATTCAGGCAGCTCAATGGCAGGATGTTAATGCTGCCTTTGTACAGTAGGCTGGTTTCTCCACACCCTCCCTATCCCCCATCTGGGCAAGCAAGAGGCATAATTGGAGATCAAGGACACAAAACAACCAAGGAGGGCGCAGAGCAGGGCCACTTAAGGGTGTAGCTTGGACAGATTCCTAAGGGCCAGATAGGGGTGTATTGGGGGCCAGATGAAGAAGGCTGCAAGATAAAACAACACTGAGTTTCTTTACCCCTGGCTTAGCACTTCACTCAGCTGACCCTGAGGATCAATTTGGTCTCAACAGGCAAAAAGACATATTGTTCAGGTTTAGGATCTGGGCACAGTTTGGCTATAGAATCATAGAATTGTAGAGCTGGAACGGGCCATGAGATTCATATTGTCCAACCCCCTGCACTGAAGGAATATTTTGCCCAACGTGGGGCTCAAACTCACGACCCTAAGGCTAAGTCTCATGCTCTAATGATTGGTTCTCTTGACACCACGTGAAATTCAAAGCTGGAATGCTTGGCTTTTCCAAGCCAGAATTCCTGGAGGGTAAGTCTATTGATGGCTACTAGCCATGATGGGTAAAGGGACGCGGGTGGTGCTAGGGACGTGGGTGGTGCTGTGGGTTAAACCACAGAGCCTAGGACTTGCTGATCAGAAGGTCGGCGGTTCGAATCCCTGCGATGGGGTGAGCTCCCGTTGCTCAGTCCCTGCTCCTGCCAACCTAGCAGTTCGAAAGCACATCAAAGTGCAAGTAGATAAATAGATACCGCTCCAGCGGGAAGGTAAATGGCGTTTCCGTGCGCTGCTCTGGTTCACCAGAAGAGGCTTAGTCATGCTGGCCACATGACCCGGAAGCTGTACGCCGGCTCCCTCGGTCAATAAAGCGAGATGAGCGCCGCAACCCCAGAGACGGTCACGACTGGACCTAACGGTCAGGGGTCCCTTTACCTTTACCTAGCCATGATGGCTGTTCTCTGCTTCCATGATTGGATGTGGTCATGCTCCTAGATACCAGTTTCGGGAAACTGAAGGAGGAGATAGAAATGGTTGCGCTCCAATCCTTCCTACGGTCATCGGGTTTGGCGACCGCGAGAACAGAATGGGGGGCTTGACTGCCATTGATCCATCAGAACGAGTCTTATGTTCTATGTTGCTCCTTTCAATTCACTGCAACAATGCTCAGAAGATCAGGTCCTGGCCCTCATCAGTCCTTGACCATAATGATAAAGGTCCTATTGGCTCAACGTCGGTTTCTTGTAGGAGCTGTCCCAGGTCCTGGAGAACTTGGGATCTGCCTCTTCAAGGTCAGCCCCCTCCAAACCCTGTTGAGCACCCTTGAAGGCTTACACCTTAGCTGTTAACAGAGCAGGGTAGTCAGAGAGGAGAGCGGCATCACTTTAGCACATGGGATCGTGTCCACTGCTAGTCTCACTCGGGCTGTGTATGCACCATACATTCAAAGCTCACCAAAAGCACATTATCGCCTCCCAAAGAATCCTGGGAACTGTAGTTTATCCCCCATAGAGCTACAACCCCCAGCACCCTTAACAAACTTTACTTTCCAGAATTCTTATTGCGGGGGGCAGGAATGTGTTTTCAATGTCCTTTAAATGTGTGGTGTGTGCACAGTCTCAAAGCAGACTCATGGAGGCAAAGGGGGCAGTGTTATTGGGTGGTTTTTGTTTTTATTATGTATTTTGTGTTTTTATAGTGTGATTTTGTGTGGTAACCGCCCTGAGACCTGCAGGTACAGGGCGGTATGCAAATTTAATAAATAGCCATGATGACTATACTCTGCCTCCATAGTAGCCATAACTGGAATACCAGTTGCTGGGAACCACTGGAGGGGAGAGCGTAGTTGGGCTTGAGGGATTCCCAGAGGGATCTCGTTGGGTACTGTGAGAACAGGTGGGCTAGAATGACCTGATCCAGCAGGCTCTTATGGGATAGGCTCCTTGAAAAGTTAGTCTCTTAATTTCCATGGGTCCACTCTGAGTGAAACTTCATTGGCTGCAAACCACAGGGTGATCCGTTTTCAAATTCTTCTTCGGAGGAACTTGCTCCCACGGGACACACTGATGGCCGCTAACTCAGAGGGCTTCAAAAGAGGATTCAACATATTAGATAAATTCACCAAATCATAGAATTGTAGAGTCGGAAGAGACCCTGGGGATCATCTAGTCCAACCCCCTGCAATGCAGAAATATGCAGCTACCTCATACAGGGTTCAAACTTGCAACCCTGGTTTTTTTCAGTGCCACCCTCTAACCAACTGAACTAGTCAGACCAAGGTGAGGCTATCGATGGCTACTAGTCATAATGGCTATGCTCTTCCTCCACTCTCTGCCCTCATTAACCCAAAGCAACATTTTGCTTATTTATTATTATTCTGTTTATACCCCTCCTTTCCTCCACAACAGAACTCAAGCTGGTATCCATGATTCTCCCTCTCACCATTTTGTCCGCACAACAACCCTGTGAGGTGAGTTAGGCTGAGAGACAAGGTCACATGACTTCATGGCCGAGTGGGGAATTCGAACCCCGGTCTCCTAGCGCCCAGCACTCTAACCACTAGACCACACTGTCTTTAGGCAAAACCCATGTCAGTTCCTGCTCCTCCAAAATCCACCCCGATGCCATTTTCCTGCCACTGGAACACTCTTCAGTTCCCCCTCCACACACACACACACACACACCGATGAGATATTTTGAGATGAAAGGGCCGTCCCCCAGATGAAATGTTTATTTTATTTTAAAAGGAAAAGAACAGCAAAATTCCAGGCGATCGTTTAAACTGGCAGCTTGACTCCGGCACACTCGAAGCTGAGATTCTTGGGAGGGAGCCAAGCATGACACCACCCCAACACACTCTTAATCCTGCTTAATGTGGATTTGCGGCTGCCCTTGGGGGTCTTTCTAGAGAGATGGTTCTTCTGCCGCCCTTGACTTGAGACAAATGGCAGAGAAAAGGGAACACAGGCAGCTGCCTTATATGGTGTCGGAGCATCGGTCCATCTTGCATTGTCCACCCTGGGCTGAAGAAATAGAATCTTCAAATTGGAAGGGAACACGAGGGTCATCTAGTCCAGCCCCTTGCGACGTAGGAATCTTTTGCTCGGTGTGGGACTTGAACCCAGAACCCTGAGATTAAGAGCCCTGTGCTCTACCAACTGGGCTAAAATGCCGAGGACTGAACCTGGGTCCCAGGTGTGGTGCCCTTCCTCTGAGCTGCAGCCCTTCTCCTAAAAAAATAAATAAAGCCAGCTCCTAGTCCTCATGGTTAACGAATTAAGGGCTTGTTTAAATACATGCAAATACATGCAAAGGGCAGGGGTTGAACCTTCTGCATGCCAAGCAGGTGCCCTACCCTTCCCCAGAAAATGAGTACCATCTGTGATGAATTCAAAGTAAGGCTTATACGATGTTGTTGTTTAGTCGTTTAGTTGTGTCTGACTCTTCGTGACCCCATGGACCAGAGCACGCCAGGCACTCCTGTCTTCCACTGCCTCCTGCAGTTTGGTCAAACTCATGCTGGTAGCTTCAAAAACAGTGTCCAACCATCTCGTCCTCTGTATTGTCTCCCTGCTTATTTAACTTATATGCAGAATTCATCATGCGAAAGGCTGGGCTGGATGAATCCTAGCCGGAATTAAGATTGCCGGAAGAAATATCAACAACCTCAGATATGCAGATGACACAACCTTGATGGCAGAAAGTGAGGAGGAATTAAAGAACCTTTTATTGAGGGTGAAAGAGGAGAGCACAAAATATGGTCTGAAACTCAACATCAAAAAAACAAAGATCATGGCCACTGGGCCCATCACCTCCTGGCAAATAGAAGGGGAAGAAATGGAGGCAGTGACAGATTTTACTTTCTTGGGCTCCATGATCACTGCAGATGGTGACAGCAGCCACGAAATTAAAAGACGCCTGCTTCTTGGGAGAAAAGCAATTACAAACCTAGACAGCATCTTAAAAAGCAGAGACATCACCTTGCCAACAAAGGTCCGTATAGTAAAAGCTATGGTTTTCCCAGTAGTGATGTATGGAAGTGAAAGCTGGACCATAAAGAAGGCTGATTGCCTGTAAAGCACACACGCTATAATAAAATAATAATCACAATGTTGTTTTGTTCAAAATCAGTCTTTTGGTCCGCCCGATGCCGTCCCCTGCTGCAGGCTGGTGTTCCTGTATCTCTCGACATTCCAGGAACACTGGCTGGCAGCAGCTCTCCAGGGTTTCAGACAGGGGACTCTGGAGATGCTTTGGGTTCAGCCTGGGGCCTTCCGCTTGCAAGCCAGTTGCTCTACCCCCAGAGCCACAGCCCTTCCGCAAACGGTCCAATTGTTGACCCAAGCCCAAAGTGCTTTCAGAATCTGAATCCAGCGTTAAGGCTCCAGGGGCGTGGGGGGAGGTCTCCACCGCCTCACCTCCAACCTCACCTGTCCTCTCTTTCCTCAGCCAGATTTGCAGGCTAGCATCCATGGCTCAAGAGTGCCATCTAGGCTGGAGCACAATCCCTCCACTGGCCTAAAGCAGCCCCTTCTCTCCCCTGTATGCAGACCATGACAGTGGGTGTTTAGAGCAGGGGTCAGCAAACTATTTCAGCAGGGGGCTGGTCCACTGTCCCTCAGACCTTGGGGGGGGGCTGGACTATATTTTTTTGCGGGGGGGAATGAACGGATTCCTATGCGCCACAAAGAACCCTCCCATCAGATGTCAAGGAAATAAGCAGCTATCCTATTTTTAAAAGACATCTGAAGGCAGCCCAGTTTAGGAAAGTTTTTAATATTTAATGCTGTATTGTTTTTAACACTCGATTGGGAGCTGCCCAGAGTGGCTGGGGAAACTCAGTCAGATGGGCGGAGTATAATTATTATTATTATTATTATTATTATTATTATTATTATTATTATAGCATCTAAGTATCGCTTAAAATGCCTGGAGCTTTGATGAGAACTCTTTCCTGGCCATGGCAGATACTGTTCTACCTCCAACCATTACCAAGGAATTAAAGCATGGATGCGGGAACCTCTTCCCACCCGAGGGCCACATTTCCTTCTGGGCAACTTTTCGGGGGCCGCATACTGCTGGTGGGCAGGGCCAGAGACAAAACTGGATGGAGCAACGGATGCCAATTTTACCTCTGTACAATTGGGCAGTTTCTGTGCACATCCCTCTCCGTCTTCAATCTAGGCAAAGAAGGGCCAGAGTTCAAGGACACAATCCGCTCGAGCAAACAGTGAGAAGCAGGCCCAGTGAGCGCTGTGGCCTGCGGAGAGCTTGGAGGTACAGGCAGAGAGGCTTAGGAGCGCCATATTTGATTGCCAGGCCTGAGTCTCCCTACCCCTGATTTCAAGTGACGGAGGAGAGACTTGCTGCAAAACCCCTTCCTTTGGACCACACACTGCCTCTATTTAATACACTGCAACCCCCAAAGCTGTCTCCATATATATTTAGATAGATATAGATGTGCGGTCGCCTGCACCTCTTCTCTCTCTCTCTCTCTATACATCTGTAATATAAACCTGCCGAGTAGCAGTGTGTGGCCTGGCTTTGTCTTCCTATTTATAACTCGGCAGAGGAACGAATGATAATTCTTCCCTTTTATGACTGCTCTTCTCCCTTTGCAAGCCAAGAGAGTGGAATTCTGTCAACAGAGGGCAAGCCCTCGCTACAGTGGTACCTCAGGTTATATACGCGTCAGGTTACAGACTCTGCTAACCCAGAAATAGTGCTTCAGGTTAAGAACTTTGCTTCAGGATAAGAACAGAAATCGGGCTCTGGCGGCACGGCGGCAGCGGGAGACCCCATTAGCTAAAGTGGTGCTTCAGGTTCAGAACAGTTTCAGGTTAAGTATGGACCTCCGGAATGAATTAAGTACTTAACCCAAGGTACCACTGTATAAGAGCGGGGGTATGTGCCTTGCCTAATCAGGCAGCCGACGGAGAGACTTGGCACAATGTTTTGGACCACAATGACCACAAGCCCCAGCCAGATGGGGTGCCCTGGCGCAAAGTATCTAGAGAGATGATGGTTCTTGGAGGGTAGGGCCCGAATTGTAGAGTTGGAAGGAACCCCAAGGGACATCTAGTCCAACCCCCTGCAATACAGGCATCTCAGCTGAAGCACCCATGACAGGTGGCCCCCCAACCTCTGCTTTAAAACCTCCAACTTTAAGCCATAGGTTCGAGTCCTACCCTTCAATGGAGCACAGCTTCCCCAAGCCCAGTTTTAATAGAAGATCCCCTTTCTAAAGGGGAAGAAACTATTTTAAAGAAAGGATCTGAGAGGGAGAGGAGGGACAGAGGTATCCGAATGATTCAGAGCCAAAACAGCGGCTTGACCCACACATTCCCCGTTCTCAATATCTATGGGAACCCAGCTGGCTTATCAAGAGTTGGCCTTGAGGGGAACAGGTGGCTTCGACGATGCCGCCGGCGTTAACGAGAAGGCCGAGCGATTGCGTTAACGAGGCTGGGGGAGGCTGGCTGCCAAGGCTTGGGAACTCTGCAATACCCACACTGTTCTCTTTGAGGTTTCCCAGTGTTATCTGCTTGGTATCATGGCATGGCGGAGACGCCTTGGCAGATGGCTACTGAAGTTGCTCCTCCTGGGTTTCTTCCAGATGCATAGGGCCAAAGTCCTTAGCAGGGAGTGGAGGAGACTTGCATCGCCAGCTCTACCATTTAAGCACGTTAAGGAAGCAGGAGGTACCACAACACAGCCACTTGAAGATGGAGAGGGATGTGCACAGCCACTGCAGTGCGGTGTAGTAGTTAGAGCAAAGGTGGTGGTGGGGAGAACCCAGCAGAGTTGCCAGACCTCCAGGTTTGACCTGAACTCTCTAGGGTTTCCTGCCCCACTCCACGTAGCAGGTGAAGGGTTTGGATTTCCTGGTGGGTTCGAGTGCCATTTATGGATGGGTGGGTGTGCATGCAGCTTGCAAGCTTGAGCCCAGCACCTCTACACCGGCACAGATCTACACCTCTCCAATTAGCCTCCATCTCTAGGGCCTACCCCATAACACAGACCCTCCAAGAGTCCCTATTTTCCAGGGACAGTCCCGGATTTACAGAAGCCGTCAGGGTTCCAGATCTGATCCCAGAATGTCCCGCTTTTCCTTGAGACGTCCCTATTTTCACAGGAGAAATGTTGGAGGGTATGGAGTTAGGCAGTCCCCAAGCAAAGGAGATAAGTCACTACAACCTTCAGAAGACATCTGAAGGCAGCATGGTATAGGGAAGGTTTTTTCCAATGTTTAATGTTTTATTATGTTTTTATATACAGTGGTACCTCGGGTTAAGAACTTAATTCGTTCTGGAGGTCCATTCTTAACCTGAAACTGTTCTTGACCTGAGGTACCACGTTAGCTAATGGGGCCTCCCGCTGCTGCCACCGCACGATTTCTGTTCTCATCCTGAAGCAAAGTTCTTAACCCAAGGTACTATTTCTGGGTTATTGGAGTCTGTAACCTGAAGCATCTTTAACCTGAAACATCTGTAACCCAAGGTACCACTGTATATTGGAAGCTACCCAGAGTGGCTGGGGCAACCAAGTCAGATAGGTGGGGTATATACTGTCTCGCCACAATGGTGCATGCTCTGGTCATCTCTCGCTTGGACTACTGCAATGCACTCTACGTGGGGCTACCTTTGAAGGTGACTCGGAAACCACAACTAATCCAGAATGCGGCAGCTAGACTGGTGACTGAGAGTGGCCATCGAGACCACATAACACCAGTCCTGAAAGACCTACATTGGCTCCTAGTACATTTCCAAGCACAATTCAAAGTGTTGGTGCTGACCTTTAAAGTCCTAAACGGCCTTGGCCCAGTATTTTGAAGGAGCGTCTCCACCCCCATCGTTCAGCCCAGACACTGAGGTCCAACTCGGAGGGCCTTCTGGCAGTTCCCTCCCTGTGAGAAGCAAAGCTACAGGGAACCAGGCAGAGGGCCTTCTCGGTAGTGGCGCCCGCCTTGTGGAACGCCCTCCCATCAAATGTCAAGGAAACTATCTGACTTTTAGAAGACATCTGAAGGCAGCCCTGTTTAGGGAAGGTTTTTTTTAAAAAAGTTTATATGTTTTTATATATGTTGGAAGCTGCCCAGAGTGACTGGGGCAACCCGGTCAGATAGGTGGAGTATATTATTATTATTATTATTATTATTATTATTATTATTAGGACGCC